GAAGGGGCGGGGGGTGGTTGAGCTTTGCTTTGTGTTTGTGTACATGGGCTGTTTGTGCATTTAGCCGACCACATCACAGATCAGGCATTGGGTTCTGGAAGTCGGGATTTGCAAGGTTTCCACTCCAACTCGCCCCAACAACCTTGCGCAACCAAACTACACAAACCCTAAACAAAAACCCTAAACCCTAAACCCTAAACCCTAAACCCTAAACACCTTAAACCATAAACCTAAAACCGCAAAGCAAACGGTCTAGACAAATCCCAACGAAGTGCCAGACCAAGCCCTAGCACGAAAAAAAGTCAAAAACACACAATACACGAACCCTGCAAGTGCTAAACCTACGTAGACCCCTACATTAGCGGCGGTTCCATTTCTACACTGACTGCTTTGAGCATATAATTAGGTACCCTGAACCCTAAACCCTACACCCTGCACCCTAAGCCCCGCTTTTTGGGCCTTGCCAAGCCGGCAATACTCCAGATAGTACTCCGCGATGTCCCCTTCGAATGTGTGCGCAGGCGACCACCCAAGAACCTTGGGGGGGAGCGAAGGAGGTTTTTGGGGTTTAGGGTTTAGGGTTTAGGGAAATACGGTTTCGGGTTTAGGAGTTTAGGGGTTCAGGGTTTGGGGGTTTAGGGGTTTGGGGGTTTGGGGGTTTGGGGTCAGGGTTTGGGGGCTTGGGGGGGTAGTTTACAAGTTTCGGGCTTGAGGGCTAGTTTCGGCGTTAAGGGTTAAGGGCTTAGGATTCCGACTCAGCGCGCCTTCTTGGCCTTCTTCACATCCACGCCGAAGTTGGTCTCACGGAAAGGGAACCTCAGCAAACAGGTCTGTCCAGGTTACCCTAAACCCTAAACCCTAAACCCTAAACCCTAAACCCTAAACCCTAAACCCTAAACATCCCTAAACATCCCTAAGCATCTCTAAACCCTAAACCCTAAACCCTAAACCCTAAACCCTAAACATCCCTAAACCCTAAACCCTAAACCCCAAACCCTCAACCCTTTTTGGGCACCCTTCGTCTAAGGCTTCGGGAGTATGAATCGGAACGCCCAAGGGCCCACATGACCACGTTGGCGGTACCTTGCTTTTTGTTTAGGGTTTACTGTAGGGTTTAGGGTTTAGGGTTCAGGGTTCAGGGTATTTTCTAAGGCTAACCGCAAAGGAAGGTGCCCCAATGAGGTACCAACAGAAGGGTTTAGGGTTGCGGGACTTAGGGCGGAGATATTCCCTAAGAGAGGGTGTCGTGCTGTCGTGGTGGAAGGCTTCAGTGGCCTTTAAGCAACCCTCCATTGGCCTGATCATGCAGCTGGAGCCTGTTTCCAAAACAAAGAAACAAGGTTTGGGGAAGTCACCCCACTCCGCATGGTATCCGGGGGCTCGTAGTGGGTTTAGGGTTGAGGGTTCCATCTCCCTTAGGGATCACCCCTAAGCCCCCCAACGCGCAATCCGGTGCCAGCAGGGAGCTTTCCCTTTTTGGGGAGGTCGACGCCCTTCATCTGAGCTGGGTCGTAGAAAACCTGAGGCTCGGCAAGAAACCAGGGTTTAGGGTTTATGGTTTAGGGTTTAGGGTTTTCGGGGAAAATATTGAGGTTGTCTTAGAGGGTTATGGCCTTCGTAAGGCTTCATAGGGCTTCGGGCTTTCAGCAGGACAGAACATCATCTCATCCCAATGCTGCAGCCTTGTAGAAGGACTTCAGCTGATCACAGGCAGCAAAATCCGAGAACCCGGAAGCCCAAAAGCATGCGCGCACACACACGCACACGTTCAGCAGGCTTCAGGGTTTGGAGTGTTTTTAGTGATCTTAGTACCTTACCCGGGAGAAACGCCAGCATGACTCTCAAAAAAGTGCACCTATCCGATCGAGTAGACCTGAAAACACCACAGGAACCATGCACTGGAGCCCCCGATCCCTAACAGGGTGCAAGGCTTCGGGTTTAGGGTTTAGGGTTTGGGGTTTCGGGTTTAGGGCTTGGGGTTTCGGGCTTGGGGTTTACAGCTGAATTAGGGTTGAGGGTTGAGGGTTGAGGAGACCTTATAAGTGCCATCACGCAAGCCAGGGAGAGAGAGCAAGAAGCACCCACAACATGGCCTAAGTGTGTATGTCAGTGTATGTAGGTGGGTATGCCCTAAACCCTAAACCCTACACCCTAAACCCTAAACCCTACACCCTAAACCCTAAACCCTAAACCCTGTACGTATGTCACGCGCAATGCAAGTGTCACTCGCCCTTTATTACTGCATCGCCTGGCCGCCTGCCTCATGCGGTCAGGGCAACCACTTATAAACCCTGTTTAGGGTTTAGGGTTTAGGGTTTAGGGTTTAGGGTTTAGGGTTTAGGGTTTAGGGCCCTACACCTTAGGGGGGCAAAGGGAGGTGCAACCAGGCCTCCTGCAATCCCTACGCAAGAGGCCCCCCCATATAATGCTGCGCAAGAGGCACCAAGTATGACAAAGCAAACCAAAAACCAAACAAAACTTCGGGTTTGGGGTTTGGGGCTTGGGGTTTGGGGTTTAGGGAGACCCTTGAATTCTCGAATTGGTTGTGTCTAAAAAGCAAAACAAGGCGTGCAGACGTCGAGATCTTCTGTCATGCAGGGGAACTTCTTGGAGGTTCATGGTAGTTAGCAACCCAATTGTAACTGTACTTCTAACCCAATTATAACCCAATTAGGGTACTTAAGGGGCTTATAAGTGGGTTATAACTACACTTATATAATTGGGCTAGAAGTACCCTGAACCTCCAAGCTTTGGTCCTACAGAGGAAATCTAGCAAGAATGCGGCCCACGAAGTCGCTGAACACAAGCACGCCAGCAAAAACCCGACAGAACCCCAAACAACTCGATAACCCCCTATAGCCTTAATTAACGAAACCACAGCGTTGTTTGGAACCCTTTCTAACGTGGACATCTGCTTAAACCCCCAAACTCCCAAACACGTCGATCTGCACCTGGTTTTCGCTTCGGGTAGTTCAGATAGAGAAACACACACAGCATGCATCAGCGAGTGCGAGTGCATGCCTTTTCAACCTGCAACCCAGACAAAGATGCTTATATACCTACTTATCTGCGTATGTGTATTTACTTGTTATAAACGACGTGTAGCGTAAATGTTACTTGTACATGCTTACTTGGTTGGTTAATTATGTACAGCGCATACAGGTATCAGTCGAGACAAGAGTAGAGCAACATACCAATGGACCCAACATGAAACTTGCGAACTTCGAATTTACACCGGCCAAGTCGCCCTGAAACCCAAAACCCTGAACTGAACCTTGAACCCTAAACCCTAAACCCTAAACCCTAAAACCTAAACTGTAAACCCTAAACCCTCAACCCTAAACCCTAAACCCTAAACCCTAGACCCTAGACCCTGAGCAGAACTCCCATAAAGGAGGCCAGAGAGCCACTCTACCAAGCACCTCCCTGGGGTCTTTCCCCAGTGCAGTTGCCACTACCTGCACTGGAGTTGTTTAGGTTTAGGGTTTAGGGTTTAGGGTTTAGGGTTTAGGGTTTAGGGTTTAGGGTTTAGGGTTTAGGGTTTAGGGTTTAGGGTTTAGGGTTTAGGGTTTAGGGTTTAGGGTTTAGGGTTGCATCTTAACACTTCAGCTACCCTTCAGAAACTTCACTTCCCAGACAGCTTTGGTGTAGCTGTAGCACCCTCAGGTTTTCAGGGGGATATATACGATGACCCTCGAGTGCACCTAAGATATGGTCAGTTCTCGAAATTAGGGTCCCGATTTTGGGTACAGTACCCCAAGTAAGAGGTGCCTTCTACTAAGGAACTCAACAGTGACCTCTTTTAGGGTTTAGGGTTTAGGTTTTGGGTTTTGGGTCAACGAGATCTAGCCAAGGAAGATAACACTTTGTTTGCCTGCGGTTCGTGCAAAGGGGGACTGAGACCAGCGGCAGCAAGTGTACATCTCAAGTCATTAAACGCCCCAAGCCACAACAGTCGCCCTTCTACCCGTACAAAATAGAACAAAGACGAGAAATTGAGGTATCACCCTAAGCCCTAGACCCTAGCTCCTAAACCTCAGACACCCCCAAAACCTAAAGGCCCTAAAGGCCCTAAAGGCCCTAAACCCCAAACCCTAAACCCTAAAACCTAAACCCCAAACCCTAACCCTAAACCCTGAACCTAAGCAATGAGTCTGCATTGCATGGAGTACCCAAAGGAGCCGTGGCTCTCCTCAACCAAAAATCCTACATTGCCCAGCCCCTAGGGTTTAGGGTTTAGGGTTTAGGCTAGGGTTTAGGCTAGGGTTTAGGGTTTAGGGTTTTTCAGCTAGGGTTTAGGGCTGAGAGTTGTGGGTTGCAGCGCTATAGCTCGGGTAGCTGTAGATGCAAGTAATTGGTTAGAAAACACCTCACTTGGGGGAACGTCTACTACAAATAGTTCCCCGTGAACCGTCAAGAAAGCTTCATGGTAAACTGCCTGGACTATGTCTTTGTGGGACACGAGCGCATCGGAAGCACAGTTGAAGACCTCGCCAGAGGCATCCGCCTCTTTTCCTTGGGTCTCTCGGGTTTTGGGGTAGGATTTGCAGGTTTCCGAAATTAGGGGCGTTTTGTTGAGGTCCTGATTAGAAGGGAATCACTATTTGGTATATATATATATATACATATGTATATATATATATATGTATATGTTCGGTGCCCCTTATTTTCGAAAACCCCATTTAAGGCTCAGGCTTTTAGTGTGCAGAGGTGGTTGGGGGTTTAGGACTGAGTTGCCCCTGCCGTTTCTTCTGCCATGGGAGTTGTTCTAAGGTCGCCCAAGCCCGAAATGGGAAGGAGGCCACGGGGTTTGGGGCACCGTAGGCGGTCTCAGTTATGGCAGTTTGGGGGTTCAAGGGGGGTGAGTTGGGGTGAGAACGGGATTGAGCGCACAAAAACCTGAGCGACCTTGCCATTGTTAGACCCAATGGCGGCTCCTTTGGTTGAGGGCTTGGGCTTGTACATCCCAAATTTGAAGACCTTGTAGCAAGCCCTTGAATTTAAAGCGCATCCTGGCGCTGACATAACTTCGGCTTCAAAACCTCGATAACAACTGTGTGCTTAAGAACCCCTCCCCCCACAAGAAGAGTATTCTTCCGATAAAGTGAAAACAGGAATTCGTGTCTGTTTGTTTTGGGTGTTCCTAAGCAAATAGTAGATAACTACACCCCAAGTATGTGGCCTCTCCTAAACCCTTGTGACCATTCAAGGACGGAGCTTCCGACAACGCTCGCCATCATCCCTTGCCAGAGCAGGGCTTCGTGGGACGCATGGATTCCCCTCGCTTGGTGCTCCGGGCTTTTATCTTCCTGTACGGACTCCCCTTAGAACTAATTAGATGGTATATATGTTTCATGTTCCCTTAATAACGTTAAGTTATGCGTTTCATATTCCCTTGAAACAGAAACCCTAAACCCCCTGATCCGAAGGAAGCTATGGCTTCATTTTGGTAACGTAGCTCAGCACCACGAGTGCCTCAAACAACGGGTTTAGGGTTTAGGGTTGAAGGCTCAGGAATTTTCATGATAACCTACAAGAGAAGGGAAGCCTCGAGTTCTGAAAGGGGCTAAACCCTGTAAACCCCAGGGTTCAGGGTTCGGGGTTCATAGTTTAGGGTTTAGGGTGCATTGATGTCTAGGGAGTTGGGTCCCATGTCGTAGAGCAGAGCCTCCCGTGAACATCCGAGACAGGATTGAGGGTTTTGGGTCCCGAAACCCTAAACCCTTAACCCTTAACCCTAAACCCTAAACCCTAAACCCTAAACCCTAAACCCTAAACCCCCAGATTTCCGGTTCGGTCCGGCCTGCAACATCCTCGCTGTTCGTGAGGGTGGTGAAGAGCGAGCCATCTGCCGGCAGCGGAAAGGGTAGATCGCGTGAGATGCGATCCTTGCAACGGAAGGAATTTGGGGTTTAGGGTTTAGGGTTTAGGGTTTAGGGTTTTTGGGTATAGGGTTTAGGGTTCAGGGTTCAGGGTTTAGGGTAAGAAGCGCTTGGCTTCAGGGTTCACGGTGTTTAGGGTTCAGGGATAAGGGAAGAAGTGTTGAGGTCGGCCCTGACCAGGTCGTGGACAAAGGGTTTAGGGTTTAGGGTTTAGGGATGCAATCACTGAAGTGCTGTCTCTCTGCCTCCACCTGTGCTCCCTAAACGCTAGACCCTAAACCTCAAACTGCCAACACTTCAAGCCTCACCCTAGACCCTAAACCCTAAACCCTAAACCCAACGCCAGGCCGGCCAATTGCAGAGAGGAGCAAGAAACCAGTCAATGTAATCTCGCTTGTTCGTTTTCGGCCCGTAAATGTACCTTGGCAGTGGCCCTAAACCGTAAACCCTAAACCCTAAACCTGAAACCCTCAACCCTAAACCCTGAACCCTGAACCCTGAACCCTGAACCCTGAGACGACATTGCGAGATACGCGCTTTTTTTCGTAGGGTTGGGAAGAAAGCTGAAGAGAGAGAGAGAGAGAGAGCTGATGAATTAACCACACTTTCTACAAACACCCATCGTTGAAAAGAAGGCCCAGAGCATTTTCAAAACTACACCAACACAAATCACGCGAACCCACGCAGAAAGGCTGACTCACCTGAAACCTAAACCCTTCCTCATGGCGGTTGCCCCCAAACACCGTAACAAAAACAGAGCCCTTGGACACATAAGGTTACAGTAGGCGGTTGCTTGATGTGTCGGTGGCGTACGTGGCGACATTGGGCTCTTCACTGCAAGAAACAAGCCCTGCCCCTCACCACTAACCCTAAGACCCTAAGACCCTAAAACCCTAAAACCCTAAAACCCTAAAACCCTATAACCCTAAAACCCTAAAACCCTAAAACCCTAAACCCTAAAACCCTAAAACCCTAAAACCCTAAAACCCGAAACCCGAAACCCTAAAACCCTAAACCCTAAACCCTAAACCCTATCCCACCACAAAACCAAGTGAAGCCCTAAGCCCCAGAGTCGCCCAACCCCTTCCTAAGGCCCCAAGCCACTCACAAAACCCTAAGCCCGAAGCCCTAAGCCCTAAGCCCTAAGCCCTAAACCCTAAACCCTAAACCCTAAACCCTAAAGCCTAAAGCTCCAAGGACTCTTATTTGAATGTTTCTGGGCCAAAAGGCCGTGTTCTAACAGGTTTTTGGGGCTCTCTTGAGCCTTAGGGAAAAGGGGGTTTAGGGTTTAGGGTTTAGGGTTTAGGGTTTAGGGTTTAGGGTTTAGGGTTTAAAACACAACGAAAAATCGGAAATCGGTGCAAATCCAGGCGCTGCGGTCGGAAGGCGCACCAGTTGAGGCCCAAACTTCGAGCGTTGTTCCTCGGCTGTGGTAGGTGGGTGTAGGGTTTAGGGTTTAGGGTTCAGGGTTCAGGGTTCAGGGTTCAGGGTTCAGGGTTCAGGGTTCAGGGTTGAGGGATTAGGGTTTAGGGTTTAGGGTTTAGGGTTTGGGGTTTAGGGTTTAGGGTTTAGGGTTTAACCCTAAGGGACCCTGTACCTATTTTTGTATCGGGTTTAGCGTTCGGGGCTAAAAGCTCAACGGGCTTAAGTCCCTGGACCTCAAAGACTCGGGGGAAGAGTTGATAAAAAGGATGCAGCTGTGTAGGATTCAAGTCTTCGGGCTTAAAAGTCTACAGCTTGCCTAGTAACCATGTTGTAGCAAAGGCACCCTGTTTGGAGGTTGGTCACTTTGTAAGGGGGGAACCTTGGACCAAAAAAAGTAAAAGGGTACCACTGGGCTGCCAAGACAGGCGTCTTTGGGGTTAAGCCACCTTACTTAGTTGCTCAGTTGTCTGCGCTTTCAGTTCTTTAGGGGATTAACGATTCTGGCAAAAGTGGAAAGTGTACTCCTTCAGCTACGAAGCTCGGGTTTAGGGTTTAGGGTTTAGGGTTAGGGTTTAGGGTTTAGGGTTTAGGGTTTAGGGTTTAGGGTTTGGGGTTTAGGGTTTAGGGTTTAGGGTTTAGGGTTTAGGGTTTGGGGTTCAAAATCCCTACACCCTCAAGCCCTCGAGTCTGACTGTGTGAAACTCCGCACCCTTTCATGCTTAGGGGCATTGGGACGCAGGTTTAGGGTTCATAGGGTTTAGGGTTTAGGGTTTAGGGTCTAGGGTCTAGGGTCTAGGGTCTAGGGTTTAGGGTTTAGGGTTTAGGGTTTAGTGTTCATATGCTTTATGGGCTTTCATGTTAGGAGGCTCCAGTCTTAGGTCGGCAGGCCACAAGCCTTCCACAGCTTGCCATGAAGTGCGGGTCTGGGGGTTTTAGGGGTAGGGCTTCGGGTTTAGGATTTAGGGCTTGGGGTTTAGGGTTTAGGGTTTAGGGTTTAGGGTTTAGGGTTTGGGGTTTGGGGATTGGGTTTGGGGTTTGGGCTTTGGGGTTTGGGGGGTATCTGGAGGATTTTGAGTGCTGAGGTATGTCTACCTACAGTAGGGCTTAGGGTGTACAGCTTAGGGGAAGATAGGGTGACCTATACACTATTCAGACATTGGGACGTGCACCTTGTAACCGTTGCTACAGTTTCTTGGGGAGGCGTCCAGGGAGTACTACGGTAGGCCGAGGACTCTTCAAACCCCAAGCAACAAAAAAGGAAGAGGGAACCCTAAACCCTAAACCCTGAACCCTAAACCCTAAACCCTAAACCCTAAACCCTAAACCCTAAACCCTAAACTGCACCGGGGGGCTCAATGGACAGCTGCTTGTTGTCCAGCTTCACCGCGCCGCCTGCAAAAAGCAGGTCCTTTCTCTGCCACATCGTTTCAGAAACAACTTGGGCTTAGAGGGTTTAGGGTTTAGTGTTTAGGGTGTAGGGTTTATAGGGAAGTTTTAGGCTTGGTTGTCAAAGACGTCTTGGGTTTACAGGGCTTAAAGTTTGCATTTTAATTTGGCTTTGGGGCTGAAGGTTTAGAGTTTCCTCCAGGACGAGGGGCTTTCCATCGCGGTCATCTTTGCTATGCTACGTTGTTCCCTAAGGTCTCTTGGTCTATGGGCGGCAAGACCATGTGTACCCTGGCTAGGAGATTTGGAGGCACACAGATATAGCTCATCCCAAAAAGGCCAATACACCCTAATTAAGTAATGTACCTCAACCCATGTTCAGGATCCCTCTATAAATGAAGATATATTCCTTAACTAAGGTATATTCCTTTAAGTAAGGTATATTCCTTCAATCATACTAAGGATCCCTGCTTAAATTAATTAGCTGGGTTGGCCTTTAAACCCTCTGAAAAATACTTATATAAAGTGCCTTATAAGCCCAAATAAGGAAAATAGAAAAATGTCCCCAAAAACAACCCAGTCAGGGGCATTGGGGTCTTTGGGATCCTGCAGGGTAAGCTGCGGCCCCCAAGCAAACAGCCTGGTGCATGGACCAGTTCGACCCCTCAGTCCTCCACCCCTCTACCCCTAAACCCCTAAGCCCCAAGTCCCAAGCGACCCTAAACCCTAAACCTCTCTTACATATATAATTTAAATGTTGGGGGGTTACTGGGCAAGGTCGCCGTTTTACTGGACAAGGTCGCCGTTTTACTGGGCAAGGTCGCCGTTTTACTGGGCATGGTCAGTTCGGTCAAAAGAATCGACCTTGCCCAGCGAAACGCCGACCTTGCCCAGTCAAACGGCGACCTTGCCCAGTAAAACGGCGACCTTCCCCCGCTGCCCAGTAAAAGTGCGACCTTGGACCCCGAACGTCGCCGTTTTACTGGGCAAGGTCGCCGTTTTACTGGGCAAGGTCGATTGTTTGACCCAAATCGACCTTGCCCAGTGAAACAGCGACCTTGCCCAGTAAAACGGCGACCTTACCCAGTAAAACAGCGACCTTCGGGGCCGAAGGTAGCATTTTTACTGGGCAGGGGGGGGGTGCCCGAAGGTCGCCGTTTTACTGGGCAAGGTCGCCGATTTACTGGGCAAGGTCGCCGTTTTACTGGCCAAGGTCACCGCTAGGCAAGGTGGTTTTAGGGTTCAGGCCCCACTTTGGGCTGGCTTTAGGGTTCGGGGCCGACTCTCGGCTGGCTTCAGGGTTCAGAGCCTACTCTGGTCTGGGCTGCCTTTAGGGTTCAGGGCAAGGTCATTTTTTACTGGGCAAGGTCTTTTTGTTTGCTGGGCGAGGTCATCTTTTTACAGGGCAAGGTCATTTTTTACTCGGCAAGGTCATTTCTGAACTGGGCAAGGTTGTTTTTTTAACTGGAAAAGGTCGTTCCATAAGTGAAATATGTTCTTAATGTTGTGGGATTCTTTGGGCGGGTGGGTATTTTCTTGGAGTAATTTCTTGACTAGTGAATGCTTGAACTTGAGATGCTGAACCCTAAACCCTAAACCCTAACCCCTAACCCCTAAACCCCAAACCCCAAACCCGAACCCTCTAGTAGCGTGCATCGAGGTCCTCCAAGGATGGCTACAGCTCTTAGTCGCTTGCGCAGTGCCTAGCACAGATATCAGATGTACATCCGTAGATTTTACAGTGAAGTGGCTTAAGGTTTAGGGTTTAGGGTTTAGGGTTCTAGATAAGACACCACCCTCTGTGTGCATGAATTCCGTTCCACCTTCGATCAGCGGCCCCTTCGGCACAGGCAGGTACATGCCACCGGAGCTGACGTAGGCGTACCTGAGGGGGAACAGGTTTAGGGTTTAGGGCTTAGGGTTTAGGGTTAAAAGGGTATGGGGGAATGAGTACCCTAGCCCTACATGATCCCTTAAAGGGTATACACAGGGCCCTTCTTCCCCGATTCCCTACTAAGAACCAGGGAAGAGGTTCGGCGCCGGCCCCACGTCCTATGTTTTAGAGCTTAACCAGGGCTTATAGGGCTTGTAATTAAGTCTCTGAAACAGAACAGGAAGATTCAAACCCTCCTACCTGACAGTAACCTCCAAGAAAGATTGGAACATCGTTATGCTCATACCCCAAGAGGGCTACTAAAGGGAGCACTAATCGTCCTTAAACCCTGTTCCCAACTTCAAAGAATTGGCTGCAACCTCCAGGAGCCCCTGCGCTATTTGGAAAGCCTCACACCGGCGCACATACTCTGACCCTGGCGAAAGCAGCTCGGGATTTACATGCGTTTGGGGCCTTAGGATGTGAAGAAGATTCTAGACCTTCCGCGTTCTAGAGCTGTGTGGCTTAGAGGGTTTTAGGGCTCTCTACTAGCAACCGAACAAATCAGTCATGAGAGTAGTTTAGGTTTAGCAAATGGGGTTCCCTAAGCCCTAAACCCTAAACCCTCAACCCTAAACCCTAAACCCTAAACCCTAAACCCTCAACCCTCAGCCACAGACCCTAGGATGTTTACAGGTTTCAGGAAACCCGAAGTCTCAAAGAACCTTCGAAATCTTTCGAAGCCAGCCAGGATGGTGCATGCATATACTTGGGCCCTAAAGTGACTATATGGGAATTATGGGACCCCTCTACCCTATACCCTATACCCTAAACCCTAAACCCTACACCCTAAACCCTAAACCCTATACCCTAAACTCTAAACCCTAAACCCTAAACCCGAAACCCTATGGGACATGGACCCTTAAGGCAGGTGAAGGCGAGTCTCGCTTTGGGATTCCACGGCTGGATGGCGCTCTGAACGTCCTGAAAAGAACGCTCTGGGCTAAACCCTAAACCCAAAACCCGATAACCCTATAACCCAAACCCTAAACTCAAGGGTTTAGGGGCTAGTGTTTCGGGTGCTGCTCCACCTAATCCATACCCTGAACTCACACGCCCAAGTCCAAGACTGCACACCAATCAGGGTGTTTCGAAAACCGCTGGTACTGCAGCCCTTTTGGGGGGGGGGGGGGGTATATTGGGGTAACCCTAAACCCTAAACCCTAAACCCTAAACCCTAAACCCTAAACATTCAATATCACACATTCTTAGCTGAACGTTGCGGGCGTGCTGGGGAGTCCTTGGGGCAGATGTTCTGGTTGTCGAAGACGTACTCGCAGGGTGCCACACCCTGCCTTAGCCGAGTCTCAGGGGCTTCGATGCGTTTAGGGTTTAGGGTGTAGGATTTAGGGTTTAGGGTTTAGGATTTAGGGTTTAGGGTTTGGGTGGGGGAAAGACCCCTAAACCCTAATCCCGGAACCCTAAATCCTACAGCCCCTAGACCCTGAACCCTGAACTCGAAACCCTCCACGCAAATCCCGAAACTCCAAACCCCCAACTGCAACAACAGGACACAGGAGCCCTAAACCTTAAACCCTAAACCCTAAACCCCAAACCCTAAACCCTAAACCCCAAACCCTAAACCCTAAACCCTAAACCCTAAACCCTAAACCCCAAGCAAATCGGGGCAAGGACCTCCTGCCCGAGCCGTGGTTTCACACCAACCTTTTTCCGCAACCCACTCCTATAGGATCCCAGGTTTAGGGTTTACAGGGTTGAGGGGTTTAGGGTTTAGGGCTTGGGCTTTAGGCTTTCGGGTTTAGGGTGAGAATAAAAGGGTCTTAGGTGTAGAAGGCATGTAAACCCACCAGGAAGAGGAATGACAGGTCCGCCATACCATCCGATCTCGCTGACTTTTGGGCTATCCGCTGCAACCCCTATAAGGAGGGGCCCCCTTACCATACTAACTGTAGTCAAGGGACTTATAACCTAATTTAGGGTCCTTAGAACCCAATTTAGGGCAGTTGTAACTCTACTTATGACTAGGCGGCCCCCACCTTGTATCCCTTACTTATCCAATAACCAAGGGAAAACAAAGGTTAAACTTTATTGCTCCTACTGAATAAGGAAACCAAAAAGTTTAAAGTTCAGCTGTTGGAGAAGTAAGTAACTCTGCACGGTCACATCCATAGTCTCATCTTTTTTCATGAGACTGACGTGTTGCTTCACCGTCTTAGGGTTTAGGGTTTAGGGCTTAGGGTTTAGGGTTTAGGGTTTAGTTCAATTCGTGCACGCCTGAAGGTATCGCCAGCTAGATCCATTCGGCCCTCATCTCCAGAAATACTTTGAACACTCAACCTCTAGAGCACTAAGCTCTGCGAACCACAACGCCCTAGATGCTGATCTGCTATGGCCCTCCTTCTAAGCACATCTGGCCCTTTTAAGAGATTCGGGCTCCAGGGGATGATGTTTAGGTTTTTCGGGTTTCGGGTTTGGGGTATTCCTGCTTCAGAGCGAGCGTCCTGGAAAAAGAACCTGCGAGCTTGAGGTGTGACTTTGCTTTGCCTACACTTACAAACCCTAAACCCTAAATCCTCAGTTCCGAAACCCTAAACCCCAAACCTTTTTCCGGACCCTGAACACCCCAACTAAACCCTAAACCCTCAACACCCAAGCGTAGTCCCTAAACCTTAAAGCCCTAAACCCCCAACACCCAAGCGTCGTCTCACTCTGCCAGGCGGCATGGCTGCCGAAAGGCCACCGCCCGAAAGGTCGGCAAGCTTGATGTTGACGCCTGGGCCAAGAGCTTTCCAAGACCAAGGCATCAGAAGCCCGCGTGCTTGTCTCCCCTAAACCCTAAACCCTAAACCCTAAACCCTAAACCCTAAACCCTAAACCCCAAAAGCAAAAAGAGCCCTAAACCCCAATCAAACCCAAGTGGCAGGGGGGGGGGGCCTTACCAACGAGCCAGGCTCTTGAAGAAGGACATTGCACTACGTGGCATCCCCGAAAGGGGAGCTCAAGTACAGACCCTGAGATCCCTTACTTAGAGCAGAAATTTCATATCCTTACAGGGTGGGCCCCCCTAGTTATAAGTAGAGTTGTAAGGGCCCTAAATTGGGTTATAAGGACCCTAAGTTAGGTTATAAGTCCCTTAACTACAGTTAGTATAGTAAGGGGGCCCCACCCTGTAGAGCAGAAATTTCATATCCTTAGGGTTTAAGGTAGAGGGGTTAGGTAGGTCGGGATCCCTATAATGCAGCTTCAGGGATACCCAAAACCCGAAAGTTAAGCAGTTCACTCCGTGCCCCTTAGAAGTAATAGTGATAACAGTAATAATGCTTTTTATAATCGGAATAATAATAATGACGAGACCTTTAATAGTCTTTTTTTCCCTAGTCCAAGTATACAAATAATAGCTAACTACATTGGGGTCTACAGTCTGCAAATGTAATACCTACTTTGGGCTACTTGGAGCATTAGGGTCAGGGTGCGCTTATTACCTAAACCAAGCCCTAAACCCTAAACCCTAAACCCTAATGCTGTGAAGTGAGTAAAATCTTGGGCAGCTTCTGCCTGCGGCAGCCAAGTCGTTGTAGCTGCTGAAAGGCGGCGTGTCCTGCTCCCCCGTGTTAGCTAAGGGTTTAGGGATTAAAGGTTAAAGGTTTAAGGGTTTAGGGTTTAGGGTAAGAGAAGACAGTATAACCTGCTTTGCAAGATACGGCTGTTTATGGAAACCGAACCTCTAAAGAAGGGATGGGGAGAAAACCCAAGACAAACAAGATACTACCAAGCATCCCGGCTTGCAATAAGTCTAGTTTAGGGTCCTCACCCTAAACCCTAAACCCTAGACCCCAAACCCCAAACCCCAAACCCTAAACCCTAAACCCTCCAATTGGGATGTTCCCCCTTATACTAACAATCCTGAATGGGCAATCCCTATTAAGGACTGCCAGGGGACCATCCCAACCCTTCAAGGTTGAGGGTCTGGACTCGCATGGAACTGCGCAAATGGATGTATGTGCCGGCTTTACACCTCAGCCCCCCACATCCCCAGCAATATGGGCCGCTCTTTCAACCCAAACCCAAAACCCTGAATCCTAAACCCACAATACAAGGCTCTCCATTAAACCCTAAACCCTAAACCCTAAACCCTAAACCCTAAACCCTAAACCCTACACCAAGACCCGAAAGAACTCTAGGTTCGGGAACTGCCAGCAGCATGATGAAGCCCCACTGTGCATTTGGCGCGCTGCCCTCTGTTCTGTGAAGGACATGACACGTATGGGAACCTCAGACTCAAGAAAGGAACTCCAGCAATACAGGGGGTAAAAAAGTATGAATAGAGGATAGCTCTCTTGTTCAGCATGCCTACTCTCATGATCTGGTCCATGGCTATAGATTTTTTCCCCAATATGATTGCCAGCTTGGTGCCGAAATCGACCAGAGTTACACAGCATTTGGCTTCTCGTGTATCGAAGTCTACGTACAATCCTGCTTGGGTGCTGCGCGCGTGAAGTTGTCAATAAGTTACTCTTTGCGCAGGTTGCCGCGACATTGCACGGTGCATGGATGCTATACAGCCTTTGAACCCTTCTTGTATCAGGAGCCTCAACAACCGACCGAACCCTCAGTCATAAACCGTGCGTATGTGTATAGAAAAAATATGAGTACACATGAGGCTGAGACCTTCAGGCTATCCTTGGCATAGTTTTTTACTGGCAGCTACATACCAATAGCTGAAACCAAAAAAAGAACCCAATAAGCGCGTTCACGAAAAGCAAGCCGAAGCTGAGCCCAAAAACCTACCTCTTCCAACCTAAACCCTAAACCCTAAACCCTAAACCCTAGACCCTAAAACCACAATCCAATACAAAGGTACATCCGAAGCTCCTCTGGGTTGGCCTTTAAACCCTCTGAAACAAATTATATGTAGAGTTTAGGGTTTAGGGTTTAGGGATTAGGGTTTAGGGTTTAGGAGCTATACGCCCCCATACGGAAAATAGAAAATGTCCCAAGAACCAACCCAGCTCTGCTCCGCGAAACACTCAACCCGAAGGCACAAGCTAAGCCTAGCTCCTTCAGGGTTTAGGGTTTAGGGTTAGGGTTTAGGGTTTAGGGTTTAGGGTTTAGGGTTTAGGGTTTAGGGTTTAGGGTTTAGGGTTTAGGGTTTAGGGTTTAGGGTTTAGGGTTCAGGGTTCAGGGTTTAGGGTTTAGGGTTTAGGGCCCAACCCTAAACCCAACGCACCCTAAGAGTCCATGTTCCTAAATAGGGAATACTTGGGCCTTAAAGTACTTCCTATAGAAGGACTTTGGGGCCCAAGTATATGATAAGAAAAAGGTACATGGACCCTTAGGGGCAGAAGCAAGTCCGAAACTCTTGCATTGCAAGACACCGAACAAGCTATCTCTTCCAAACGCCTGAAACCAAACATCCAAAGCCTTCCCTAAACCCTAAACCCGAAGCTTTATGAAACCCCAGCTCGCACTGCACAGAATACTGAACATCGAAGCCCAAGATAAACGGTTTAGGGTTTAGGGTTTAGGGTTTAGGGTTTTGGGTAACCAGAAGAGAGGGCACAATGCAAATCTTATTCATCCCGGCACTCGTGCTATCTTCAGGCGGACAAGCACAACAACATGAACACACTCCTTCACATGTGCCCCTATACCAGCACTAAGGGGTCAAGCGTTCAACAGATATCGTGGTAACCATATCCTTTAGGAGCATCTCAAAGACGGCAAACGTCGCTACACTACGATGCCGCCCTCTACAACGGCGTCGCACGAACGCTCTAGCAGATCCCAGCGTCACTAAACCCTAACCACTCACCCCGAACATCTAAACCCTAAATCCGAAACCCTAAACTCTGAAACCCTATACCCTCAACCCTAAACTCTAAACTCAAAACTCTAAACCTAGGACTTCAGGTCTGCCAATACTCCCGGCTTTCAGTTCTGAGTCCAGGAAGCTAGGAGTCCATGGGGAGAAAAACGCAACCCTAAGCCCTAAAAACCACACAGCTAACTAGGGTTTAGGGTTTAGGGTTTAGGGTTTAGGGTGGGTTTAGGGCTTAAGGTTTAGGGTTTACGGTTCCCTGCAAACCACAAAGCTAACCTTAAGAAAACACCTGACATGATCCAAAAAAAACCCTTACCCTAAGGCTCCGAGGACTCTTGTTCCCAGGCTGTTGGGCCCCGAAACACCGAAAACACCCAACAAATCCCTTAGACTAAGGCTCCAAGGACTCTATTGTTGTAAGGTTGTTGGGCCCGAAGGCCTGATTATGACAGGTCTTCGGGCTCTTTTGCGCCCAAGGGGTCGGTGTACTACTAAATCTAACCCCAAACGCTAAACCCTAGACCTAGACCCCCCATCCTGGGTCCCCTAAACCCTAAACCCTAAACCCTAAACCCTAAATCCTAGACCTCCACCCTGGGTGATCCCTAACGTCCTGCTTGCACGCGCTGTCTTGAATCATGGTCACGGAGAGACCCTTGTCCCGGGCGAGCTTGAGGGCGAGGTGGTATCCAATCTCACCGTGCCTCATTCACGGGGAGGGTTTGGGGTTTAATTCGCGGGTTTTAGGGTTTAAGTGTTGAGGTGTAGCGTGGACCGAAATAGAGACTTCTCAACAAGCTGCCTTGTCACTCAGCAACAGAAGAACGGGTTTAGGGCTTGGGGTTGAGAAGGGCTTAGGATTTTTGAAGGCCGAAAGCTTTGCTCAACCCTCGACACCTACATCCTGAGTCCTGAAAGGGTTAACCCCAACACCCTGACTCCTAAGACCTGGAACCTCAACCCTATATCATAAGCCGTTTAACCAACAAATCCTACCCTAACCCTAACCCCTAAACCCCAAACCCCAAACCCCAAACCCTAAACCTCATACCCTGCACCCTAACCCCTAAACTCTAAACCCTAAACTGCAAACCCTGAATGCTACACCCTAGCCTAGACCCTAAGCCCTAAGCCCTAAACCCTAAACCCTAAACCCTCCTAAGGCCGGCGCCCGCCGCCCTTGTTCTGGACGATGAGGGCTGCTGCCCCGAGTGCGACAAGGGCAGCCCCGACTCCCAGCCTGGGTTCAAGGTTTCATGATTTAGGGTTTAGGGCTGGGGTTTAGGGTTGAGGGATTAAGGGTTTGCAAGGGTATAGGTATCAGGCAGGTTTCGTCTTTTCATGTCCTGCTTTTTTTTTTGGGGGGGGGGAAACCTAAACCCTAAACCCTCAATCCTTAGAGGAAAACAAAGAGACATAGTTTATCCCTAAGCGGGAACAGAAGCTCAACACATCATGGGTGACACATGCACCACCCCT